AAAACACACCCGAAGACGAACACCAAAACAAATCTCTACCGCAAATTCGTCAACAACTCAAACAAAAACAACAGATGAGTCACCGCCTGGCTGTCTCGGTAAATCGTCGTGGAACACGAGACACCACAGAATTATTATAATTACGTCAATACGAGCATAGAACAGTATGGAAAGGGCTATCCAAGGGTAAGACGAGTTCCGAAACCACCCGAATCATGTCAAAAAATGGGTGTGACGTCACCAAAACGTTTGACCACCACTGGAAATCACTAGCTACAGTATATTCAGATAAGAGATAGACCGGACATAAACAAGACCACGTGATCATCGAACGCTGTAACATTCGGCAGGGACGTATTAAGAGTCACGCAGTACATATTTTAGATAGTAGATGCTGCTTTGCGTAACTTTGTAGTAAATTAGCACAATTCGATGTGTATACGATTGGTGATGGATATAGGATCATGTGGGGGTGGGGTAAGAAATATATAATGATGTAAATATACATAAGGGTTTCAAAATTTTCGCTTCGATTTCCAGCTTCGGATGCCGTCTGATGGTTGGTGAAATACAGTCGAATATAATCTCAAAATGGCGTTTAAATTAGCCTAAATTGAAAATAATCGTATAGCTCTTAAAATTGCTTTTAGAATATTGATTAGTATATTTTTTGATTTCTAGGTAAATATGTAACCAAATTAAAACGTTCAAAACGTAAAAAAATGTGCATGGTTGAACATTGTCAGAAAGTAGATTCTTGAATAGGTTTTGCCAAAATGGGTTCAAAAATGTCAATAATTAGTTAAAAAATACAGTAGCTTTATAATTACTTATAACTGACCGAATTTGATGAACGACATCTTTTATTGGAAAGATGAGCTTGATGAGCTTTCATCATCGCTACTGCCTGAAGCACCAACGTCAATAATGAATGGCTCGACTTGTTCCTCTAAAATATTGTCCAGTTCCCACATTCTCTTTTCAACTTTGTCTTTCACGTGCTTAATACAGTTTTCCCATTTTTGCGCTGTTATTAATTCTAGTGCTTCTTTGAAAAGTCCTTTGAGGTCACAAAATTTAAAAGTTGTATTGTGCTTAGCTATATAATTTTTAACCTCTGCCCATATGAGCTCAATGGGATTGAGCTCGCAATGGTATGGAGGTAAACGGAGCACAGTTTTATTTTGACTTGCTGCCATTTCGTCAATGGCGTATTTTTGATATTCCGCCTTGTGATCCTTGACAATTCTTAATAATTGTACTTTCAGCATTGCTTCTTCAAAGTTGATATTTTTCGAGCGGAGCCAATTTTGAACATCGACTTTCCTTGAAGCCGTTGTTGGGACCTTCTCCATTCTTCGAGAATGATAAGGCGCATTATCCAACACAATTACTGCGTTTTCCTCTAAGTTCGGTAAAATTTTTGAGAACCACTGTTCAAACGATTCGCCATTCATTTCCTCGTGGTAATCTCCAGTTTTCTTAGACTCAAAGCACCACAGACCGTCAACAACAAATCCATCCTCACTGCCAATATGGCAGATAATGAGCCTTTTCCCTTTACCTGGAAATCGAAGTACTAACTGGTGTAGATTTATTTCAATAAGCGAACCTTTTTCAAATGTTTTCATCACATTCAGCGAAAAAACATTGAGACATGAGTATCAGATTGCTATAATTGGGATTATTTAGTCATATAGAAAGAAAGAATATTGAACGTCGTATGATTACTCAGCGCTTCACAATTTAATTTAAAGTTATAAACCTTTAAAAAATGAATGATCAGGAACCTGAAATACTGAATAACAAGGTATAACAATAACAACGACAAACTCAACAACTTAATAAGATAACAAACGAAAACGTCCAAAGAAATATCAAATTGCAATGATGCACACGACATACGTAACACGTCTGAACCTGAATGTGACTCTGCCTTGATACGACTGCTCTGCCGCTCGGCATAGGCATTTAATTGCGAATTGACCAATGAGGGCTCCTGTTTTACGTCGAGACGGCGGCGTTAGCGTGAAAATCACCCGAACCTTTTGTTTACATCCGGTCTATCTCTTATCTGAATATACTGTAGTTACTATCTGGAGACGTAACATGTGGAGGACACTGGTGTAGAAACAGCTGATCCTTAAGTTCGGTTACGGTAAGTCGTGCATGAACCCGACATATATTTTTTAAACTATTTTTTCTGGAATTCTTTTTTATTCATCAGAATAAAATCACCCTTTTTGAGAATATTACAAAATATTGCTAAAAGGTAAGTAAGTACAGCTAATAACAAAAGGCATATTTTTTGTTTAAATGCATATTCACAGTGGGTGCACACGAAAAAGACAATTAATAGAAGCAGTCCATGGAATACAACAAAACAAATACCTAATCAAAACATAAATAATCTTCAAATTGTCAATAGTTGTCAATAGCTTCGTGTTACTTTGAGTAATGGTAGTTTTGGGCCTGTGTTTCATGGACCTTGAAAAGGAAGAACACAAGAAAATGTTAACCGCGTACTGGGATATATTGAAGGAAATCCTCATGTTAGCACAAGGGCATTATCCGTTGAGTTGGGCATATCACGAACAACGATTCAAACTATTTTGAAGGTCCACAGATAAGATCTAATGGCCATCAAAATGTAGATATTTATTTAAATTTTAATCTTAGAATGCACCCATATCATGCCGTTTTGCATCAGGCGTTGAAAGAGGAAGACTTTGATCGCAGGTTGGACTATTGCCATTGGATGTCAGGCATGATAGGCGTAAATAAAGAATTTTTATTTAAAATTCCTTGGACCGATGAAGCCACCTTTAACAGTGACGGGAGAGTCATCGCTCAATACGCATTATTGGTCTGCAGAAAATCCGCACTGGTTGCATGAAATTCAGCACCAAGGGTGTTGGAGTTTAAATGTGTGGTATGGCATACTGGGAGGCAGAACTATTGAGTCATATTTTTTGGAGCAATCCCTAAATGGCAATGTCTTTCTTTACTTTTTGGACAATCAATTACCGATGTTGTTAGAAGATGTGCCACTGGAAACACGACAGACGGCAAAACTTGTTTTTGCAGTTGTATGGTTGCTCAGCACATTTTGCTATTATTGTCCGAAAGCATATTAGATTGGAAGAGAAAGTCTGTTTCCATCGCCTTATTTATGGGGACGGTTAAAGGACATCGTGTTTCAGACTTAACCTACAACCAGAGAAATGTTTATATACGAGGAGGTACCCAAAAATAACCGGAATAGCATTGCAGTGGGCGGAGCTTGTGTAGTACACATTTCTGCCAATAGAGGCGTACAGCGCAACCCATTACCAGTTCAGTACCACCTGAGTTGTCGATCTGGCTTGTTCCGTTCTTCTGTAGTCATTATTTTTGGTAGAGCTGTTTCGTGCTTGTTTCGTTTTTTACGATGGCAAGCTTCAGTGAGCAACATGCAGGTGTGAAATTTTGCTTTCTAATCGGTAAAAATGCTGCTGAAACTGTTTTAATGTTGAAAATAGGTTACAAAGATGCTGCTATGGGAAAAACTCAGGTGTACGAGTGGTTTGCTCGATTCAAAAAGGGCGACATGTCGATTGATGACAAACCTCGCTCTGGACGTCCATCAACTGCCCGAATCGACGAAAATATTTATAAAATTTGAGAGCTTGTGCTATTTGGAGTTTTTAAGACGATCTCTGCCATCTCTGTTCGACAGTTTCTTGCTAAAAATTGCATGGTTCCGCTGCCTCACGCACCTTATTCGCCTGCCCTGGCTCCGTGCCACTTTTTCTAAATTCCACGGATGAAAAGGGGCATGAAAAGACGATATTGAGGAGGTCAAGAAAAAAACGAGGGAGGAGCTGTCAGACATTTCTAAGGAAGGATTTTATACTACAATGTATAGGATGGCTCTTGTTGGGGACTTCGTGTGTCATTTTTTCCCTCTCCATCTTCGTTTCCTCAGGTTACACCCGTATCCGGATGTATGAGCATGCGTATCTACTTTTGTGGTTGCATATGTGCATGTTCATTTCGGGCCTGATGAAGCCAACAAGCAGAGATACGTATTGCCTCCGGTTACATATGCTATTTTTCTGCTCGATCCACCTTTCCTTTTTTGCGGATTTTGCCCATTATTTTTACTTATTTTTTGTTAATCTGTATATAGTTCTTGACGTAGTGAGTCATAATGATTGTAGAAGGAGGATAACCAAAATATGTGAGTAAAAATAAAAAAAATTAAAAAAAATGTTATCTTGTTTTATAAAGTATCATCCCGACAAGTATTTCAGTAGCGGACTTGTATTTGATCATGCGGTCTTGGAGAACCGGCATGCCCTCCCCTGTGCCAAACACGCGTACATGATATTATATTGAGACAGGGCGGTTACTCAAACTTCCAAAGGGCTATAACTTTGTTACTTTAATTTTACCAGAAAACTTGGATAAAGGAAAAAAACATTTCTTTTGGTCAGATCTACTCACTGTTAAAATAAATGACTCAACTTCGAAGTCACCCTGTATATACATATAACCCTATTTTATGCAAATTAAAAATTGATAGGAACATTTCACATTTTACTGAATAATGTTTCTGCTTACAATTTTCACCGGACTTGATACGATTTCCGTTAGATTGCCTAGTTTAGAAATCTGATTTGATATCACATTTTTTATATAAAAACATTTTGTTTTTTCAGCAGATCTATTTTGGCCACTCTCATAATTATTTCAGACCGTCCTGAGGAACAGATATTAGCGCATCACTAAACATTATCACGGTATGTAACTCAAACCCTAATAATTCATGCCGAGTACAAGTCCTTTTACGCGTTAGTATGAGTGAAAAGTTCTATCGAAAAGTAAGCAAAGTATATTATAACATCGAATTCTTTGCTACTAATCACAATGCACTTCTGAACTTCGCTGGGGTTAAAATAAAGACAGTTATCATTATTATTATTAAAATGCAATTAATTTGAAACAAAAAAACCTACTTGGAGCAGAGTCAATAGGATCAGGTATCCAGCACTCCCAGTTCTCGTCATCATCGTCTGTTGGTGTATTTTCATCTATTCGCACAGCTTCACCATTTACTAATTCATACGCCAAGTCGTTTGGTCCTTCTTCCGTCAAACTACTAACAACACACCTAAAGAAAGTGAATGTAAGTAACAGAAGTTCCAAAATGGGTGCAGAAATGACGCATTTTTCTAATGGACTCTGAAGCAGTACAATTGCTATCACAAACATTAAAAATTGTACAAGATGTTCTAGATTTGACTCTCACCATTAAGACACGATGTCGGCTGGACGGGGACAAAGTTGCGCATTTATGTAACTAAGAAAATGTCAAGAAAGTTTCGCAATTCTGTGTATTCAGGAGATTCACGAAGAAAAATTTAATTTCACCAAAATCGCTTTTATTTTCTCCTTACTCTGTACTCATGACTCAGCTATTTTTTTTAATTGGTAGGTTTAGCTTCGAAACCATGGAAGGTCCGTTGATGATATCCGCGATGAAGACAACGTTCTTCAGAAACGTATAGCAACTTTTGTTTTTCTTATGCAATGACCGGTATGGAAAACAATTTCCTGTCATTTTTGACATTAGAAAGTCCATTGAGTTTTGTTATTAGAGATAATATAAATATGATTTATTTAACTAAAAGTAAGAGGATTTAAATTCTAATATTGATTAAAGTTAGTGTATTTGATATTCCAATGAAACAACAGAGAAATTAAAAACAAAGAAAACGATAAAACAGTTAATTCAAACTTCAAAACAAGATAAAAGTCATATTAAATGTTTAAACTGCCGTACATATGCTTCTTGGCTGGATAAGCTAGGTATTGCAGAAAAAAGTACATTTAGAACATTTTGAAGACATCCGCTTTCCTCGATTCTTCTACATTCATTTTCTATTCGTTGTTTCATTCCTCCAAATCAAATGGTTTGGTTTTGTATATTAAATTTTTTAAGTACCCCCACAAAAAATAATCGGTAGGTGTAGGGTCAGGAGACCGAGGTGGCTATTCAATCCCACCTCTTCTAGGTGTCCTTCCAAAAAAATATTAGATCAAAAAATTTGCAAACATTTCGAGCGTACTGCGGAGGTGTACCATCTTGTTGAAGTCATATTCTATCGTTGGGCGCTCCATTATTTACTAAAAGAAAACTATATTGATATTTTTTATTGTTTGTGGCAATACAGGTTACCAAACATTGGGAAATATTTCCGTCAAAGCTGCGACAACGTGATTCCTCAAAAGATGCAAATATCTTTCAGCGTTTGAATTTCCATTCATGAAAAACGGATCGATTATCTATTGACCTATGATACCGGCCCAAACATTAATTTTTTGTGGATATTGTGTATAATGTTCCCGTATCAATGAGGACTTTCCCTGGCCCAGTAGCAGCAGTTATGGCGATTAAGAGTTCCGTTCAAAAGAAAAACTTTACTTCGAAACCATGGAAGGTCCGTTGATGATATCCGCGATGAAGACAACGTTCTTCAGAAACGTATAGCAACTTTTGTTTTTCTTATGCAATGACCGGTATGGAAAACAATTTCCTGTCATTTTTGACATTAGAAAGTCCATTGAGTTTTGTTAGTAGAGATAATATAAATATGATTTATTTAACTAAAAGTAAGAGGATTTAAATTCTAATATTGATTAAAGTTAGTGTATTTGATATTCCAATGAAACAACAGAGAAATTAAAAACAAAGAAAACGATAAAACAGTTAATTCAAACTTCAAAACAAGATAAAAGTCATATTAAATGTTTAAACTGCCGTACATATGCTTCTTGGCTGGATAATCTAGATATTGCGGAAAAAAGTACATTTAGAACATTTTGAAGACATCCGCTTTCCTCGATTCTTCTACATTCATTTTCTATTCGTTGTTTCATTCCTCCAAATCAAATGGTTTGGTTTTGTATATTAAATTTTTTAAGTACCCTCACAAAAAATAATCGATAGGTGTAGGGTCAGGAGACCGAGGTGGCTATTCAATCCCACCTCTTCTAGGTGTCCTTCCAAAAAAATATTAGATCAAAAAATTTGCAAACATTTCGAGCGTACTGCGGAGGTGTACCATCTTGTTGAAGTCATATTCTATCGTTGGGCGCTCCATTATTTAGTAAAAGAAAACTATATTAATATTTTTTATTTAAAAGATGCAAATATCTATTGAATTTCCATTCATGAAAAACGGATCGATTATCTTTTGACCTATGATACCGGCCCAAACATTAATTTTTTGTGGATATTGTGTATAATGTTTCCGTACCAATGAGGACTTTCCCTGGCCCAGTAGCAGCAGTTATGGCGATTAAGAGTTCCGTTCAAAAGAAAAACTTTACTTCGAAAACATTATTTCGTATAAAAAATGTACACATGTCCATCATGGTTACACAGAATTATAAACGCCTATCAAAATCATCATCTGATCTTCTTGAACCAAGGTGACTCTGTAAGGATGTAATTTTTCCGTCTTTCAAATGCGTTCCACAGACATGTGAGATGTATTGTTATCTTCACCAAGTGTTCTAGTAGAAAGGTGGGGTTTTCCGCTGTGCTCTCTAAAATATTCAAAGCCTTATTTTTGTCAGTGGCTGTTTTGGACGGCCAGATCGTGGAACATCCTTTACAAGTCCTGTTATTTCAAATTTCCTCAAAACTTTTCCAACAGTAGACCTTGTTATTGGATTCCAGTTGGTATATTTGCCGTTGAAATTTGGGTAACTTCTGCTGTGTGCGTCGACAAACCGTCGGTAACCCAGAATCATCGATCTCAAGCTGCACCAAAACTGTAATTACAAAGGATTTCAATATACAAATTTTGGTAGGACAAGATAGAGAAAACAGTTAATTTAAACTTCAAAACAAGATAAAAGTCTATTAAATTTTAAACTGCCGTACATATGCTTCTTGGCTGGATAAGCTAGGTATTGCGGAAAAAAGTACATTTAGAACATTTTGAAGACATCCGCTTTCCTCGATTTTTCTACATTCATTTTCTATTCGTTGTTTCATTCCTCCAAATCAAATGGTTTGGTTTTGTATATTAAATTTTTAAGTAAATTTGGGTAACTTCTTGCTGTGTGCGTCGACAACCGTCATAACCCAGAATCATTAGAATTTCTATTCTCTCGGTTTCAGTTAAATGAGTCGTGCATATTTTTATGGCGAAATCCGTTAAATTTTGATTTTAAAGTTACGTAACACTGCGTGAAAGGTTCTAGCATTTTGGACTTAATAGCGTTTACTTTGTTATAGATAGGGAAACATTCTGTACACAAACAAAATTTATTTTAAATAAATTATACCGTGATATTCGTTTTATGTAAATATTTTATCAAAAAATCGTGGAAGCAAATTGCAGGCTGCACTAAAATATAGTAATTACTTAATAAAGAGATTTCCATATAATATTTTCTTTGGCCTAAATTTTAGGTTAGGGACAAGATATCGAGATGCGGTTTTCGCGAGCTTGTTTAGAAATCATCTAGCTACTTCTTCATAAAAAAATCATACCAATGCATTTAATTTTTTTGAGAAAATTAACCATTTCTGTCGGAATGTCCAAAAAAGTCCTCTATCGGCCACATGTGAAACTAACAAAACTTCAAATATACTAAATGACATAGAAAATGCAACACCTAGGAGTGCTGTAATTTTGAGCATACTTTTACAAATTTTAGGTCTACTGATAAATATAAAGTGATCAAAATTTTAAGTCGAAATTTCGCAAAATAGCTTAGATATCCCACCTTAATGTTAATAATGTTTTGGAGCTCACATTCGTTAAGTCGTCGCGGCATTGATTGGATTAGGTGATTGATGTCTTCTTGGTGTATTGTATATCCCAGGCCATCTGAATTAGGTTTCGTAGAGCCTCCAATGTTTTTGGAGGGTGCGGTGAACTTTGCAACCTTCTTCCCATGTCCCATATATGTTCGATGGGGGAAAGGTCTGGAGATCGAGGAGGACACTGAAGCAGATTTACTCCGGACGCTTCTAAGAAGTCTAAACTAACACGTACGACATGAGGTCGTGCATTGTCCTGCTGAAAAAGTGGATCTTGCAATGTTTCCAAAAAGGGAAGCAGATGTGGTTGTAAAACTTCGTGGATATAGTGCTGGAGGGTCATGCTACCTCGAGAAAACACTAATCAGGATCTGCTGCCGTAAGCAATGGCACCCCATACCATAACACCCTCAGTGCGATGAATATGCCGTTCGATGGAATATTGGATGTTCCGACTTTCACCTCGTCTCCTTACTCTTGCACGGCCATCAGACTTAATTTCTTCATGGTGGTTGCGAAACTGTCGTAGTTTAAATGTTTCTAAGAGTAAAGTTGTGTCTTATACAAGACAGACTAATTATTTAATATATGATGATTATAACGTCAACGGACAGGTTCTAGACAGATGCTACTCTTTTAAGGACCTTGGAATAACCTTTGATAGCAGGCTAATATTTAGCGAACATACAGGGTGACTTCGAAGTTGAGTCATTTATTTTAACAGTGAGTAGATCTGATCAAAAGAAATGTTTTTTTCCTTTACCATTTTTCTGGTAAAATTAAAGTAACAAAGTTATAGCCCTTTGGAAGTTTGAGTACCGCCCTGTCTCAATAATAATATCATGTACTCGTGTTTGGCAACAACGGATATAATCCACCTTATCGGTTCATCGCATGGGAAACAAAAAAGCGAAAGAATTTGGAACGATGTTTTTATTTCATTCAGTTCAGTTATACATACATCAGTGTCAGTCGCGTGTGAATAGTGTCTGTTGCGTGGCTCAAACGAAATAAAATATGACACATGTTTATGCGGATCGGTTTCCCAATCGAGTGCAACCAACCCCTCGTGCCTTTGTTAATGTAGTACAACGGGCTCGTGAATCAGGTGACTTAAGACCTCACAGGGCACCTCACGATCAAATACAGGTCCGCACTGAAATACTTGTTGGGAGGATACTTTATAAAACAAGGTAAACATTTTTTTTTATTTTTTTTTTATTTTTACACACATACTTTGGTTTATCTTCCTTCTACAATCATTATCTGAAAATTAATGACTCAACTTCAAAGTCACCCTGTATACTTAATATCACATCGGCTGCCACCAGACTACTTGGCTTCTGTATTAGTAACTGGAATGAGTTCTCCAATGTCAGTACATTAATGACTTTGTCCGTTACTTTTGTCAGAAGCAAGTTGGAATATGCAACCCTGATCTGGTCTCCAATATACCTAAATTCAGTTTCAATGATTGAATGCATTCAACCTAAAGCTATTAAGTATTTTTACCTGAAATGTACTGGTTCTTATCCAGAAAGAGGTTTTTGTCATCATACCCTTTTGAATTTTTTTGATTTAGATTCACTATCAATTAGACGTAATATGTTTGCCTTATCGTTTTTATATGACCTTATGCACCAAATTGACTGTCCGGATTTACTTGAAAAAATATATTTCCGCATTCCAAGGCCTTTAATGTGACTCTTTATTTTCTTTTTGTTAATGTATTTGAGCTTTTCCTGTAATTGGGTTTTAATTGTAGGAAATATGAAATGAAATGAAATCATGTGTGCCCAAACAGAATCTGGATTCATCGCTGAACAGGACTGAGTTACATTCAATATTCCATTCAAGTATCTCCCTACTACATACCAATCGTTGCCGACGATGCTGTGGGGTCAGAGGTAGTACAAGATGGGGATGGCATGAAAACAGTCCAAAAGACCTTACTAGGCGATGAACTGTCCTTATTGTTATTGCCCTTCCGACAGCATTAAGCCACTGGTTCGCAACTGCCCTTGTTAGACTAATCATATTAGACGAAAATACCCCTGGTTTGCGAAATAATTGTAAAGTCTGGTTTTATTACTGCAAGTTGTTCAAGGCGGTATTCAAAACATGGACGTATAAAATGGGTACACCAATTTTTGTGGGAAAACTTTTTATTCGACAACAAAGAATGAGAAAACGTGTTTTTGGGATTCAATCCAAACCGTTGGCAAGAACGAAAAAACTCTTCATGAAAGATTTTTAGGTATTTATGAGACCTACGCAATGAGACCACACGTAAAAAGATAGCAAAAAGGTTATGGCCGAAAATCGAGCGAAACTGCAGGTTTTTTCACTTGTTGGTAATGCGACGATGGTTTCTCGCAGATATTTGAAATTCTTCAAGTTCGTTGGACTCATACTTCTCAAGTAGTTTTTGAGAATTTCTAATTGTTTGTCCCAAAACACCTGTTTTCCGGCCATCACTACTAGTTTATTGAGCAATATTCAGGGTTAGTTCAAAGGGAATTTTATAGCAGAATGCACTAGTTTACATGGCCGATATGAATCGCAAACCCTTCCGGAAGATAAATGTTATTTTTATGCAAAAAAGGACGGGTTACGTTATTTCTTCTAAACAAATTCAAGCATTTCGCATTTGTGAGTAATTCGCAACAAAAGTGAAAGACACAACCGCTTTGTTTTAAAATTTGTATAGTAACGTACGTTTTTCGAATATCGTAGCGCATTTGTTCAGTTACTCACAAATACGAAATGTTTGAATTTGTTTAGAAGAAAAAACGTAACCTTTGTTTTTCGCATAAAAATAACATTTATCTTATCGGAATGGTTTGTGATTCATATCGGCACGGTAAACACGTGTATTTTACTATTACATGCTCTTTGAACGAATCGTGTATATTGCTCAATAAACTAGTAGGTATGGCCGGAAGACAGATGTTTTGGGATAAACAATTAGAAATTTTCAAAAAACAACTTGACCGCTATACTCCAATTTTGTTGTTGTTATTTAGAAGTATGAATCCTACGGATTTGAAGAATTTCAAGTTGTTGCGTGAAATTATCGTCGCATTACCAACAAGTGCCAAAACCTGCATTTTGCCTCGTTTTTCGGCCATAACATTTTTGCTCGTTGCCTCAAATCAGCGTATACTTCCATGATAGCAAATATGATTACAAGTTTTTATCAAGATTCAAAAAACAATTCTGGATGTTACATTTTATATGTCACTTAGTATATTATAACATTTGTAGCCCAAGAATAACTATTTTCAACTAGCCCAAATTAGTTATAATCGGCTAAGCCGTTTCGAAGATAAACAGTGTTTTTTACAGAATCCTTTGAATACCACTTTATTTTTAGAAATACAGAAATATTGTCAAACATAAAAAGTTCACATTATCTCGACTTTAAAAGATCAGGGTAATGAGCATAAAGATAGGGATAAGGATAAATAATGGCCAACCAGTTAGTCACGTGTTTGAAAATTATCAATAGGAGAGCGATACTAATGCGCCCAGCGGCCATTTCACAGCACTCAAAATCGGAATTAGCATTGATATTCAGTATACACATTACCTGACAGTGTCTTCTCTACTCCTCAGGTACTGATGTACTGGCTGTGTTACTGTCTCCAATAATAAACCAGTAGAATCCAATACTTTGAGAGATCTTATGGCAGCAACATAAGCAGTCAAGATATCAGGTGTACTCACTCCTGGATGCAAGAGACGAGTTTCCATAGCTTTCTGTAGTGTTTCTGTCAATAAGGGCTTAAGGTCTGTCTTTGGGAGGGCATCTCTCAGATCACTTAGGGCAGGGAGAGACTCTGGATATTCTACAAATAAAATATAGAATTAGTTTTTATTGGGTAATCGATCGATAGCTCCATTATTTTAAAAGATAATAATTAAAGACAGTTCTGGGCGACTATAGCTCCTTGTTTGAAAAATATGTCGCTCTATACAGGGTGATCATAACCTCGTGGCATATATATATATAAATATATATTGAACGTATATTTGTATATTTTAGTATATTCTAGATAATCTCTTCAAATGAGGAAGTTTGATAGTCTAAGAAAACTAGCTTAAAAACCGCCGATCAGACCAAATAATTCCTGAAGTTTTGGAAATTGGCAGAGCTATTCATTGAAGTGCCCAGATTAACATACTACAAGTTCTGGGAGCAGCGGTGGAAGAGGGCAAAATGTATCTTTTTGCAGGTTTTTGCATGCATCCCGTAAACTATTAATGATAATATATAAGTAAGAAAACCGGCAAGTTTTGTTTGGTAATTACAACATAATCTCTCCAGAAAGGACAAAAGATATGTCCTCTAGACTTTCTAGGAAGCTGGGAACCCACAAAGCATACTGACGAATGGGAGTCGCAGCATCTTAGACAACATGGTCGTTCATCCATTCCTTCATAGGTGGCGCTTCCAATAAGTTGGCGCCGAATGGATCAGCATAATACACTTTTTTATATCGAAGCAGCCGCGCAGGCAGAAGCCTAAATGCCGGAACACCGCGGCTGCTATGATGATCCCAAAGAAATTTTGTTAATACGATTTTTGAACTGCCTAAGGTTAGTAGAACTGGGAAAAGCTTCCACAGTCTCGACACCCTCGGGACAAAGGAGTGGTCGAATCGCCAGTTCTGGATGTACGAAGTTCACGGTTAGGATGGGACGCCAAAGTCGGGCGGGTCTGTCTTTCAGGCACATCGCGCGGTGGCATCATGGAAGAGAGCTCTGCGGAGCAAAACCCGTTGGTATAGCGGTAGAAAAGAGCTAGATCGCCGACGGCCCGCCGGTGCGAAAGAGTCCCGAGACTGTCTGTTAGAGAAGAGTAATCGATCAGTCGGACCGCCCTCCTTTGGACAGCATCGAGCATACATAATGTAGTGAGCAATACTCGAGGCTAGGCCTTATCTGAGCCTTGTATAGAGTAAGAAGGTCATGCGGAGAAAAGTACTTCTTAGCCCTAAACAAATACCCTAGCTTTTTCCCAGCAGCTGCCGCTATGAATGTCTCTTTGACAGATCTCGGCCATCTATCGAAACCGGATGAGCGCCAGGACGCTTTTTGTTCGTCAAAGTACAGTACTGTGGTTTGGAAGCATTAAACTGTACAAGATTGTTGCGTCTCCAAGCAGTGATGGTCTCCAGGTCTCTTGTCAGAGAGGAAGTCGTCGCTAGTCTTCTTTTTTCCAGCTCAGTAGCAGAGATCGGCTTGTCACTCTGAATTCCTGCATGTAGAGTGCTGTCATCAGCGAAGCTGTGGATTGGGTTGATCGTGCAGGAAGGAAAGGAGGTCGCTGATATGTAAGAGAAACAGACGTTGTGGGGTGAAGAGGAGAACCCGTCAATTACGACGAATATCCTGCTGCCAGAGATAAAGTCAGCCACCCATCTGCAAAGCTTTTCTGGGAGCTCATATGATTGGAAGTTTGCATAAGAGGGCAGCGTTCCACGGCTGATCGAACGCTTTCGTAATGTCAAGATCAACGACATGAGCCTCACCATAAGGCTGGATGAGTTTACTCCAAAATTGCGTGACGTAAGCTAGGAGGTCCCCTGTGGATCGCTGGTGCCGGAAACCCATACTGTCTGTCGCTAGTCAAGCTGTGACGTTCGAGGTAGTCCAGAAGCTCGCTGCACACCTCTTCAGTACAATGGCAGGAATCAAGTCCGAACCAGAAACTTTGTTGATATCGCGCGACAAGAGCACTCGTCTTATGGTCTTATGCCTGAATGTTACCTCCCGCATAGTGTAGGGAACCCTTTGAATTGACGGCACTTGGGCGTTGAAGGGAGTGAAGTCGGCAGCAAAGATCTTGGCAAGCACTTCCGCCTTGGCCTCTGAATCGGATACAATCATTCCATCGTGACACGTAAGTGGTGGACGGCTACTGTGTGAGAAGTTCTTTTCAATCTGCTTGGCCAGCGTCCAGAAACACGGACTGCCATTGAGCTGCGACATTACCCTGTGCCTAACTTTCATATCTTGCTGGTTTTTGTCATTGCGAACCGCTTCGTTATATTTGTGTCTGGACTCGACGTCGGCTTGGTTGTTCTCTACAGTGAAGTTTTGTAAGAAGGTTCTATGTGCCTTGATCTTTTGCTGGCGAGCAGTGTCACACGATTTGTTAGGACCCTGGTTTAGGCACTTTCACTGTGAGGGATGTATTCCTCCATTCCGACGTGGATAATTTCGGTTATCGAAGAACAAACAGCCGACGCATCTGCGTCAGTGAAAGAGACATCTCACCAAGGAAAGGTAGAAAAGAAGTCTCTGATCCCCTCCCAGTCGGCATGTCCGTAATGCCAAGTTTTGCGGCCTGTACGAATTTCTGCTGTCACAGCGGGTTCTGACCGAAACCACGGTGTTGTGGAGGTTAGTAAAACACCGTGGTCTGAGTTACCCAGGGAGGACTGGACAGCAGTGCTGTAAGGGACAGGATGCGTGGTCAGAAAGAGATCCAGCAGGCTACAGGCATGTGACGAGACGCGGGGGAAATAAGTAGGGCTCGTAACCACCTGGGTCAGCCCTTGAGTAAGAGCGAACGCTTCGACTGCACGGCCTGTTGAATCGGTCTTGTTTGAGCCCAGCCAAAGCTCATATGGGCATTGAAATCACCGAGAACAACTACCTATGAAGCGGGGTGATTGATGTTCAGGAAGTCGATTTTGACGGCGAGGTATTCAAGTAGGTTATCCCAATTATGATCCGAGGGAAAGCGATAAAGGCAGCAAATAAGTTTGAGGGATGTTTTGGAGTTGATGCGGAGCCACAGAATGTCCTTCAGCTCTGTTTCCAAAGAAACATCTCTGGAGCAGGAAAGGCTGCTGCAGACAAAAGCCACAACTCCCCCGTTGTTTCTCAGATTGGAGTGCACCTCGTAATTTGGGAAGTCAAGATGATTAATCGGTGCAGACTCTGAAATTTTTTAATGACATTATATAGGATTTCAATGGCATTGCGTCGATTTTTTACGTAATACCCCCAGTGGGTCCAACAGGGGCTTGTTTATTTTTTTGATGACCGGCTGCTGCACTGCTTTTATTTCACGAGCAAAAACTGTTCCTAAACCTTATAAAACCATAATAAAGCGATCTTTTCTCTATTTGTCTCCAAAATTATATGAACGCGTACCCAAAAACTTAAAACAATTTCGAAATACACATAAGTTTAAAATGGAATTATCAGAATGGTTACACGCAACAGGATTGAAACATGTGTTTGCCCATTCTATGCGGTTATTATATAATATATAAATAAAGTTCTACTACTACTATTTCTGGGATTATTGTATCCGTTGGCGTTTCTCACTGTGTAGGTGGCTTCCTTGATTTTTCTCTGATACCAATGGGTCTTTATGTATTGCCTTGGTGTTGTTCCAATTTGTTCTATGGTGCTCTTTCCATGCGTGTCCTGCTAAGCCGAAGTTCCCCACTTCTGTTTTGCCAATATATATCATATTAAATGACATAGAAAATGCAACACCCACTGGGAGTGCTGTAATTTTGAGAATACTTTACAAGTTTTAGGTCGACTCATAAATAGAAAGTGATTAACATTTTAACTCGAAATTTCGTAAGATATCTGGGATATCCCACCTTAATGTTAATAATGTATTGAAGCTCCTCTGTTCGCTACACATTCGTTAAGTCATCGGGGCACTGATTGGATTAGGTGTATTGTATCCCAGGCCATCTGAATTTGGTTTCGTAAAGCCTCCGATGTTTGTGGAGGGTGCGGTGAATTTTGCAACCTTCCTCCCATCATGTCCCATACATGCTCGATGGGGGAAAGGTCTGGATATCGGATAAGGGGACGGTATGAAAACAGTCCAAAAGACCTTATTTTGACATAAACTGTCCTAATTGTTATTGCCCTTCCGGCTGCATCAATCACTGATTCGCAACTGCCCTTGTTGTGGAAAATCGATCTCTAAGTGCTAGTTGCCTCAAATAATGATCCTGTCGCTCTGTAGTCTGTCTTTGACGTCCAGTACCTCTAACTCGTCCATTTCGGCCTTCTTGGAACCACACTCGACAGCATCTCATTAGAGTAGCTTCGTTTCGATTCATCTGATTGGCGATTTCTCTAAAAGAAAATCCTGCTTCACGAAACCCGATTATCCCACCCCTCTCAAACTCGGCAAGTTGAGTGAAATTAGCGCGTCTGCGAACTCTGAAGCATGATAATGCAATAAAACAATGAAACAAATGGAATCAACACAGAAAAATCACTGTATATTAAGTAAACATGTTCATATTGTTCGGATCCTGATATCACAAAAAAGCCTTTACAAAAAAGTACGGCTCGGAATGCCTTCAACATCTTATCACCGTATACTTCCATGATAGCAATATGTTAACAAGTTTTTATCAAAATCAATAAATAATTCTGGGTGTGGCATTTTATATGTCACAGTATATTTTCTCACACTTGGATGATATCCTGTATTATACAATCCTTCGTCTCTAGACCTTCGTTTTTTAGCTTGACCTTGGCCTTTGATTACGCTGTGTAGGGTTGTATTCTTCGAGAATCCGATGTCCATGCCATTCTTCTGATTGAATCCAAGATACCACCAATATTTGGTAAGTTGAGGGTATGTCGTGGTTCCTCGTATATACTTCGTCTAGTGTTCATGTCTTCTCGTAGCACCTCTTCCATTATACATCTTGGATAGCTATTCTTCTCAAGGTTTTCTCTGATGCGACGTATTTCTTCTTCTAGAGACGCTGACAACCTCTTCCTGTTTTGTGAACTTTGTTTTGTCGAGGGTTTCAAGTTGTTAGGATGTTTGAAGAATTCCTGTAGGTGG